CAAACGCCCGGCAAGCGCCAATTGAAATGTATGAGAGCGGCGCGGCCACATCTCAGTCACTCTCCGGAGAGAGAGAGAGAGAGAGAGAGAGAGAGAGAGAGAGAGAGAGAGAGAGAGAGAGAGAGAGAGAGAGAGAGAGAGAGAGAGATCCACCACGCACTCATTGTATGCCGCTAAAATGTTTGAGGACGCCACACGGCAGGGCGTAATGAGTGCATAACAATCAGATCGTAAAGAAAGACGACAGCGAGGAGGAGGGGGGGGGGGAGAAGGGAGGGGGGGAAGTCCATCGGGTGGGTAGTACTACGCGTGCCACCACAGCCGCGCGGTTAAAGGGAGGGACCATTCATAAAGAGAGTGACCGCACTGTCTGTGCGCCCCAACCGTTTCATCCCCACTTTTTTTTTTCGAGACCTGTTCAACCAAAGCATTTAAGATGTTAAAAGTCACCAAAAATTTAACCTCTGCACCCTAAGTCCACCACCCAGCAGCTGACCGAGCAGCTCAAGCGCGGCCCCTGAGGTAGGAAGCTGCAATGTGTTGGTGACACACACACACACACACACACACACACCAGCACAGAGAATCGCTTGTCTTTGTCACACACACACACACACACACACACACACACACACACACACACACTGTTTGCATGCATTCAATTAACATGGCATTAGGTTACTGCCGCGCGGTATGATGCCTGTTATTAGTCCTGGGCATAATGGTGGGTGTTGCCCTGCTTGCCCTGCTTGCGCTGCTTCGCCGCGGTGTGGCCGGCCTGGCGGAGGGAGGCGGCCCGTGGTGCTCCGTTTAGGGCCGCCGAAAAGGCAGGGCCCCTACTTAGCAGCCCAAAGTGTCGCTGGCGAAAACGAGCCGACTCTTTTCGGCCCCATTTTTCAGCCTTCTTTTTATTTATTCCTTTTTTTTACTTTTCCTCGCGTAACCCCCGCGAAAGGAAAGCAATAAAAAGTTGCCAATGTGGTGCGACATTCATTGAAAGGTTAGGCCACCCCCATTCCGTGTGTTGGGACCTTTCGAAGAGGAGGCGCGTGCCGGCCTGTCTGTCTGTCTGTCTGTCTGTCTGTCTGTCTGTCTGTCTGTCTGTCTGTCTGTCTGTCCGTCTGTCCGCCCGCCTGCCTGCCCGCGTTTAATTATAATTCTCCCCGAGTTCTTTGCTTTCAATTAAAGCTAATCTGTTGGTCATTCTGCCAGAGAAGGCCTGCTCACATCTCGAGGGTCGCATCTCGCACACAGGTCGTTTTTCGCAAGCCAGTCAAATATCTGGTTCAGTTTGAAATCGACTACCGCGAAGAACTAGTTTTCTGATCAGCAGCAGCACTCCGTTCGTCGGTCAGTTAATGACGAAATTCTCGACATGAAAATCGCGTGAAAGTGCTGCTGCTGGTGGCCAAAGTAAACGGTGGCAGGGCGAGCCGTGGACGCGGGCAGGCGTGTTTGCTTTGAAACGGGTGGCGAGGTGTCGATGCCTATTGACTGATACCGATAATTAACGACTATAAACAAGAAAGTCATACGGGTGGATAGCGATCACGCCTGGCAGGCCGTCCGCTATCGCTTTCCAGGCACGATCCGGAGATATCTTAATGAATCGCAGTGCCTCGCTGTGTCACCAGCCGCCTCTGCACCGCGAGGAATAGACTGGCACAGGCTGATGCTGCGTCTGTCGCTCTCACACTCCCGTAGGTGCGAGAGTGACAGAGCGACGAAAACGACTCATGGAATCAGTCAGCAGGACCAAACAGGACCCCTTATTCTCACATCTTTCGGCTTTGCTGGCGCGAAAGGGCCGCATCTTCCCTCTCCGTCGCACCGAGCGACCCGGAGTGGCCGAGGGCAGCTCAGCCCGCTGATCGCACAAAAAGAGAAAACGGCGAATTAGGGGAAACGTAAACTAACCGAAAAAGCCCCCCTGAGAGCTGTAGCTGTCTTGCTCGGCCAGGGCAAGATGATTTATCCTTGCTCTTTCTTTCTCTCTCTCTCTCTCTCTCTGTCTCTCTCTCTCTCTCTCTCTCTCTCTCTCTCTTCTCTCTCTTTCTCCCTCTCTCCAGTCACCCCCGCGTGTGGCGCTCCAGGGTCAGCGCGGCGAGCAAAGGGAACTAAACACAGTCAAAGTTAAAGGAAAGGAATAAAGTTTACTCCAACTTCATCCCTCACTAACTCGGTGCTACTTCCGGTCGGGATGCCCAGCGTGATCGGGGAGGGCGGCGAGGCAGTTAGTCGTGATTCCCCTGTCTCACAGTGGGCCAGAAGACCGTCGCCGGCGGACAAAACATTAGACGCGTTTTGAGCTCCAGAGTCGCTAAACAGGCCTCGAATCGAACGTGTGACCCCACCAATGGATTCCTCGTTCGGAGAGCAGTCCATTGGTGGGGTCACACGTTCAGTTTGATTCGCATTTAGTTACTCTGGAGCTCAAAACGCATCGGGGTCTTTGACCGCCTCCACCGGTCCTCCGGCCCACTGTCTGCCTGCCCGTCCGTCTGTCTGTCTGTCCGTCTCCGTGCTGCCCGGCGCCTTCCTCGGGGGATGCCGATTGTTCCAAGGCGGTGGCGCGTCACTCGATCCACCGCGCTTCCGCCTTGGGCCCGAACGGGCACACTGTTTGAAAGAGAACGAGAGAAGGAGTACTGAAGTACGGAAAATTTTTACAGTGCCGCATTGCAACCGCGTCTTTTGTCTCTGTCTGCACCGCGTCACTCCGATAGCCATCTGGCGATGGATGCGGTAGCGCTGTCGGTCCCAGGTGGTCCTGCAGTCCTCCTTCGCGAGTCCCTGCAGTCTCTCTGCGAGCGAAATAATAACAAGCATAATGCCTAGGCGCGACGCGCTGCGACGCGGCGTGATAGATGCACTCGCAGAGATGACGCGTTCGGTCTATCTGATCGCTGCCGTTCGGCTTTTGGCTCGGCACTCGCGACACTTACCCACGCGCACCTCCAACAACAACAACAACAACAACAACAACAACCCGACTGGCAGCCGAAACAAAAACATCGTCGGCGCGCCCTTTTTCGCATATTTTTTTTCGTCGTCGCATTTTTGTAGGGCACGGCAGCTTGAAATAGGGATGCGCGATAGATCAAGGGGAGGGGAGGCGGCATAAGAGAGAGAGAGAGGGAGAGAGAGAGAGAGAGAGAGAGAGAGAGAGAGAGAGAGAGAGGGGGGGGGAATCGGGAACGCCTTTCCTAAATCCCCCAAGGCCGGCTGATACTGCCTGCTCGGTTCGATGATGGGGTGCGAACGACCCTCTGTCTCTCTCGCACTCGCGGCGCGTCCCACAGCGGTGCGAGAGAGAGACAGAGCACACCGTTTCGACGTCAGACTACTGCCCTGCCCTTCGCAACCTGGTGGAGGCCTGCAGGATTTGGGAGCCGGGTATGTCGCCGAGGTGTGTTAAAGGACCTTCTTTTATTTTTATTGGTCCCTTGCGACTGCCCTTGTCCTTGCGGTGCGGTCCTCTCTCTCTCTCTCTCCCTCTCTCTCTCTCTCTCTCTCTCTCTCTCTCTCTCTCTCTCTCTCTCTCTCTCTCTCTCTCTCTCTCTCCCCGCAAGGGACGGCCGCCTTGTAATGTTCGCCCCGCTGTCCTTTGTTCCAGTATTTATTAACTTGTTCGCGAGGTGGGCCGGCCCCCCGCGCGGGGATGCCGGGGGACCGCCGTGCACCGTGATGTGTGATGTGAGAAATTGGCGTTATCGTGATCGGAATGTTCGTCCGTCCTGTGTCACAGTGCAGTGTGTCCCCTGACCTCGTCTCTCTCGCTCCGGTGCGGTGGTCCGTGGCGGTGCGAGAGAGACAGCGACGGCACGCCGTGCGCAGGGTCGCTCCTGCTCCCTGTGGTGCACGCGTGCAGTTGGAATCGGTGGCGGTGCCGTCCCTAAAGTACCCACCAAAAAAAATTGAATGCATTTTTCTTTTTCAAAAATCTTGCCTTTTTTGCGGTGCTTTACAGTGGGCCAGAAGACCGGTGGAGGCGGCGAAAAGTCCTCACGCGTTTTGAGCTCCAGAGTCGCTAAATGGGCCTCGAACCGGACATGTGACCCCACCAATGGATTGCTCTCCGAAGGAGGAATTCATTGATGGGGTCACACGTTCGGTTCGAGTCCCATTTAGCGACTCTGGAGCTCAACACGCGTGTAGAGATTTTTCCGCCTCCACCGGTCTTCTGGCAAGTCCACTGTGGGGCCCTGCTAGCGTAACCCGGCGGCAGTCAAGTCCTACGCCAGGTCGGGGAGGCGAGCGTAGCAAGGGCGCTGCTTTGCAAATTAAGCGGCAATCGACTCGATGGAAAAAGCGAGCCCGTTCCGTTGCGATTATAGAGACTACTCGGCAAGATGGATCTGTTTGGCCTGTCTGCAAACAAGACCGGGCGCGACAGGCGGCACAGGTTAATGGGATGCGAGCGACAGTGGCAGTTAACAGTGCCGCGGCTTTGCGCGAGTTGCGTGCTTTCCAGTGGAGCGGCTCGCGTTGAACGCATGTCTTCCTCGGCAGTGGCAACGGCTGCAGCGGATGCGGCGGATGCGGCGACTTGATGCAAATTGCGGAGTCAGCCACCGAAAACATGCCACGCACTTCTCGGCTTTGCCTGCGCCACTCTGCTGCTTTCTCTCTCGCACGCCCGCGGCACGCCCCACGAGTGCGAGAGAGACAGAGCGACCGGCGCTGCGGGGCCCCTGCGACGCTGGGATAGGCCGACCCGCCGCGTCCCGGCGTGGAGCGGGTTGCCTACCCCGGGCCCGTCGGGCGCTAGATCAGCTCCGACGGGCTGTCTGTCAGTTTGTGGCTCTCTCGACTCGAACCGAACGTGTGACCCCACCAATGGATTGCTCTCCGAACGAGGAATCCATTGGTGGGGTCACACGTTTGGTTCGAGTCCCATTCAGCGACTCTGGAGCTCAAAACGCGTCTAGTGTTTTGGCCTCCTCCACCGGTCTTCTGGCCCACATTGTAAACAACAACCCCTTGTCTCCCTGTTGCAGAGCGAGAAGGCGGAGGTGAAGCAGAAGTGGGCCTCGCGGCTGCTGGGCAAGCTGCGCAAGGACATCACGCAGGAGTGCCGCGAGGACTTCGTCCTGTCCATCACCGGCAAGAAGCCCGCCATGTGCGTGCTCTCCAACCCGGACCAAAAGGGCAAGATGAGGCGGATCGACTGTCTACGGCAGGCCGACAAGGTGAGTTTGTGTGTGTGTGTGTCCACCCGGGCGATCGCGGATCGACAAGACCTCGGGTCGTCCCCGCCGTACAGTGGGCCAGAAGACCGGTGGAGGCGGTCAAAATCCCGGACGCGTTTTGAGCTCCAGAGTCGCTAAATGGGACTATAACCGAACACGTGACCCCACCAATGGATTGCTCTTCGAACGAGCAATCCATTGATAGGGTCACACGTTCGGTTCGAGCCCTGTTTAGCGACTCTGGAGCTCAAAACGCGTCGAGAGTTTCGGCCGCCTCCACCGGTCTTCCGGCCCACTGTGCGGCGGTCCACGCTAGTCCACGCCACTGACCTAAGACGCCATGCTCCTAGTCGCGCCTGGCCGTGCTGGCCACGCGGCGCCACCAGAGATTTGCATAACTGGTCGGGATGAGGCGCTCTGTCCCGTAGGGAGGCGGGGCGGGGCGGGGCGGGGCGGGGCGCGTCGTTTGACACACTGTGAGTTATGACCGTCCACCCGGCCACTGTCCACGTCGCGCCGCCGCGGCAGAGCGGCGATTCCGAGCAGCGCGCTTTCGTCGCTCTGTCTCTCTCGCTGCCTCAACAGTGTGGTTGATACACTCCCTGTAAAGCCTTTGGAGGTAACGCCACTGGAAGTCCAACTTCGTGGTGCTTGACGGATGCGGGCCGGACTTGGACGCGGTGTTCCGATCCGCCCACGGAGGTCAGGCCTAGCCGTTTGTTCCGGACGAGCACAAGTTGGCAGATAAAACTGTCCGTCCTGGAGAGCGAACAGCGCTCTGTCTCTCTCGCACTCGTGGAGCGCTCCGGTCGGGTGCGAGAGAGACAGAGCGACGGGACGCCCGGCGGGCGGAATCGGTCGTCTGCCTTTGTTTCGTGACGGAAACTGTCAGAGTGCCGGGAGGGGAGGGGAGGCGAGGGGGTGAGGTGGCAAGCGGCAACATTTCCACACTACTTTGCGTCCTTTCGTAGCGAGGCTGGGGGCGGGGTGGTCCGGGGGCGGGGTGGCCGGGGGCGGGGTGGCGGGGGCGGGGAGGCCGGGGGCTGGGGGGCCGGGTGGTTGGGGGCGGGGAGGCGGGGCTGGCCGGGGGCGGGGTGGTTGGGGGCGGGGTGGCCGGGTGACAGGGGCGGGGAAGAGGCACAGAGAGGACGAGTCGGGGGCACAAATCTCTTGGAGACAGATTCAATCAAGGGTGTTGTGTGCAAAGTCTTGTATAGGAAAAGGACAAGGGATTTATGGGTACTTGTACCGTTTAGGGAAGGGCGCCGGAGGAAGGGTGGAGGACGCGCTGAAGAGAGAGAGAGAGAGAGAGAGAGAGAGAGAGAGAGAGAGAGAGAGAGGCGCCGTCGGGGACGCCCGGAGAGGGCGCCTTCCTTCCTACCCATTCATCAAGGGGTTACATACAAGTCGACTTTATTCCATTCTCCCGCCTTTTAGCCTTTTAAACCTGAGGAGCCGCCCTGCCCGGCAGCCCCGCAGTCCGATCCCGAGAGTCGTTTTCGTCGCTCTCTCTCTCTCTCGCACCCTCACGGGACGCCCTATGAGTGCGAGAGAGACAGAGAGACTCTCGGAATCAGTCTGCTGACCTGTCTGGGCCGTCCGGTCACCTTATTTTCGAAGTAGTATAGGGACTGTCCTCCCTCGTCTTTAAAAGTGCAACCCCATCTTTCTTTCTTGATTCGTCAGTTTTGAAAAAAATAAATGAGTGCACTCCACACAGCCGTCCCGTTGCTCTCTGGAAAACGTTAATCTCTGCTTGAATCCCGCTTCCGTCCGCTCCTTTCTCACTAGACAAAAGTTACTATCCCTGAAAAACGTTGACAGCGAAGCCGTCCCCGTCGCGCAGCCTCGGCGCGGCGGACTAAGTATTTAAGGTTTTGCTGCCGTTCGCGGCGTCGAGACCACTTTCGCTTTTTTGCTGTCTCCCCGGAGCGTCCCCTACGGCCCTACGGCCCTACGCCCGGGGGTGCGGAGAGCGTCACATATTAACCCCTGTCGGCATGGCTCATGTTTTTGCGTGCTTCCGAGCCTGTCTCGGAGTCCCGTGCCCCTGCCCGCCCGCCTCGCCCGCGTTCAGACGCTGAGATGCACTGCAAAGGAAACCGCCCTCACTAGACAGGAGCTCAGCCGGCCGTAGCGGCGTGGTTCAACATGACGTGCTTTCGGCCCTGCAAGTTCAATCAATCGACCATTTATTTTTTCTAAAGCCTTAAAAAAAGTGAAAGAAATTATACAATTTATCTTTTATAAGGGGGAATTTTTGACCCACACCCAGAAAAATAGTTTCCTGATTTTTAATTTTCTTGTTACAAAAAGTCTTGACCCAAAGAAAAAAAATTTCATACAGGAAGAAAATTTTCTTTAAAAATAAAAAAAAGAAGAGTCCTCTTGAGTTACTTTTCTTCATCTGAAAACTTTTGTGTTCAACGTGATAAGCTTTCAACTCTGCAAGTTCAATTAATCGACATTTTATTTTCTAAAGCCGTAAAAACGTGAAAGAAATACTACATTTTTGGAGGGGGGGGGGTTTGACCAAGAGCCCTGTGACTCAGCCGAAAGAATTTTAAACTTTAAAGTCCAAGTCGACTCGAGTCGCCTTTTTTTTTTGCAGTGTGACGCCTGTTTATGCAGACACCCCATGCAGTGCAGGCGCCGGGCGGATGACGCGTCGGGCGAAAACAACCCCAGGCGATACGCAATCTGTGTCGCGCTCCGTCTGGAACGGGCCGCCGGTTCAGATTGGGATTCGCATTCGGATGTCCTTTAGGTGCTACGTGTTTGATGCTACAAGCAGGGTTTTAGGAATTCACAGGCAGAGAGGAATTGCGTACTTCTATCGGTGAATCCGAATCAATATTTATCTATTTTGGGTTAGGTTAGGTCGGATCCTCACGTCTGCCAGAAAATAACGTCTGTCATCTGTCACGAGAACCTGCACTGACTTGTTGCACTACAGTGTACTGCTCGCCCTGTTTCGACTGGCTTCACCGTTCACCTGGAACAACTGTTGCGCTCTCTCGCACTCTGTCGTCATTTTCAAAAGTAGAAAAATCTTGAAAATGACGACACTTTAGTGACACCAAATTTTCCGAATGACGATATCGTGAGGGATTTGGTATGCAGGAAGAGCACTTTCGCTTTAAATGATTGGCAGCTTCAACCCGTTGAGGACATTTCGAAATCAGTGAAGGACGGTCTGACTGTTAGCAATAGTTGCTGAGGAGTACTGCTGCAGAGGGCTCATCTCGCATGAGGGAAAGGGTGGAGCGATGCGGCAGATTGCAGATAGTTGCAGAGAGAGAGAGAGAGAGAGAGAGAGAGAGAGAGAGAGAGAGAGAGAGAGAGAGAGAGAGAGAGACGGGGTTGGGGGTGAGAGGCCGTGAGGGTGAGATAGTGGAAAAGAGGGGAGTGGCAAGGCGGCGCAGGCTAAATAAATTTTGCCCGAGACGGGGGAGGGGGAGGGGAGGGTTGAAGACCACTGTATGAAGATGCAGCAGCAGTTTCCCAAAGAGGGCCGACCCGTTATGTAGCTTCTGCTTCGATATCGCACAGCCCGCCTCCATTTGGGGTTTTGAGTGGCACGCTTGTAGTGCGGCAGTTCCGTGTTGTGGCCTTCGCATAGTGGGCCAGAAGGCCGATGGAGGCGGTCATAATCCAAGACGCGTTTTGAGCTCCAGAGTCGCTAAAACGGACTCGAAGCGAACGTGTGACCCCACCAATGGATTGCTCTCCGCACGAGGAATCCATTGGTGGGGTCACACGTTCGGTTCGAGTCCCATGTAGCGACTCTGTAGCTCGAAACGCGTCTAGAGTTTTGGCCGCCTCCACCGGTCTTCTGGCCCGCTGCGCGACGTCCTAGGTTTCCGCCCAGAGACCTGAACGCGCTTCCCGAGGGTGCCCAGGTGGGAAAGGTAACGCACGGGGCAGTCACCTGGTGAAGGTGGCTTCAGTCGCCCCAGCAGCCTGACTCAGATACTCAGACTGTTTTTGCAGTTAGTCGTTGTTATTTTTTTAACACAGTCAAGCCTCGCTGCAGCCATTCCAGCCTGATTTCCGGGTGGCCATTCATTTGGCAGTGAAGATGCACCACGCCGCTTGCCCGCTGCTTTGCCCGCATGGACGGCATTATCCCACCATAACGGCCATAACCCACTGCTAACTCGCTACGGTTTTATCGCTGGCCTCTGTCTGTCTGTCTGTCTGTCTGTCTGTCTGTCTGTCTGTCTGTCTTCCTCGCTTCGCAGCGCCATCCATGACATCCGGATTACAGCAGTGGGAAGCAAAGTCTCACTGGGTTGCGGGAGACATTCGCCTGTTCAAATCTGTCGCCCATCGCACAGTTGGCCGCTCTCGATTCGCACTTCGACCTCTCGATTCCCACTTTAACCTCTCGATTCTCACTTCGACCTCTCGATTCCCACTTCGACCTCTCGATCCTCTTTTCGACATCTCGAATCCGCTTCCGGTGGCGCGTCTTTCAAACTCGCCTTCGACGCCACCAGGGCGTCCATTCCTCTCCTCTGGCCGTGGCCGAGGCCGTGGCAGACCTGGTGCCCCGCGGCCGCCACACCGCCACACTGCAAAGAGAAAAGTGGAGAACTGCGCTTGTCTACAGTGCAACCGCCGCGAGGGGAAAAGGGGGGGGGGCGTCACAGACCGCATAGCAAGTACCGCGCCACAACAAGCATGCCCGGCATACTCATCGGTGGTCTTGTATGCCACCGGCCTCCCCCCCTCCTTCCCCCTCCTCCTCCGGGGTGCACCTGGAAAGTGTGGTCGTAAACGCACTTCATAAAAAGAATGACCAAAAAGGCCACAAAAAAATACCACATAAAACCCGCGCGCGAGCGAGTACGTTTGTCCTGCATGAAAAGACAGTTTTGCCAACGACCACTGGGGTAGCTCAACATTTTTAAAGTTTTTTGGTGGGAAAAATTCTAGCACTTTTTCATGTTGTTAGGCAAAGGAGGCAAGCGCCCTTTTTTCGTTCACAGTTCGGA